CTCCCAGGTAAATGGCACATGTAACTGTAAACGTGGCTGGACAGGAAGCTCATGTGAGGTGGATGAGGATGAGTGTGACTCAGACCCATGTCCGGACAATGCACAGTGCCAGAACACAGCAGGAAGCCATCAATGTATCTGTAATCCTGGCTACTATATGAACAACTCTTTATGTGTGGGTGAGTCCTTTTAACTAGATTACCAAGAAACTCAGAGTATGAACGTGTTGAATGTAGGTTGCATCATGATGTCAGTGTATTAACGTTACATTAGTGTGAAGTATTGGAAAATTTCCTTACATACTCCATTTTGCAAAAACTAAGAAACTCTGGTTGAGGAGGGGAGTGTGGGTTGGGGATGCACAATCCATAAAAAGCTGTTTAATGTCCTTAACCCTTTTTTTAAAAAAGAAATTAATAAATTCTGAATGGGGGGGGGGGGGGGTCTACCTTTCATAAAACTGTTCTATGTCATTATAACTTTTTAATAATTTGAGATGAATAATTTCTGTGGATCAAGATTGTAATGAGTTCTTCAACCATTCAGAATATTTTTTCTTAATAGGTTTTGTTATTGTATTTGTGAAAAATCCTGAATATTGAGCGTAAGTAAAGTGCTGTTTCTCAACCTATATCTTCTTTGTGTGTTTTTGTTCACAGAGTGTGCTGAGGGAACTTATGGCCAGGACTGTACTCTTACTTGCAGCTGTAACCAAACCAACGTAGAATCCTGCAATAAGGTTTGCGCAACACGCATTTTAAAAAAACATTTGATTTTTTTTACATCATTGTACTACAATGGTAAAAAAAATCAAACTTGTTCAATTTGTTCTTACTGTAATTTTTAAACATGTTGGTTTCACTGTGTATTTAATGTCAACCCTACCTGCCATGGCAATGATCATTTATGTTGTGTAATTAGATATATAAACAAAGAGCTTTTTTCGTTTATGAACTTTTTTATTAGCCCAGATGATGTTTCCGATAAAGAAAAGACTTTAGCTAGAAGTTTAAGACTCCCTTGTGCTTGTTGATGCCCACATTGTTCTCATCATTTGTGTAAATGTGAGCTGTTCCCACCCACAGGTAAATGGCACATGTAACTGTAAACGTGGCTGGACAGGAAGCTCCTGTGAGGTGGATGAGGATGAGTGTGACTCAGACCCATGTCCGGACAATGCACAGTGCCAGAACACAGCAGGCAGCCATCAATGTATCTGTAATCCTGGCTACTATATGAACAACTCTTTATGTGTGGGTGAGTCCTTTTAACTCAATTGCTACGCCGAGCTGTGGGGGGCAGCGCTGCTAAAGTAGGTTGCATTATGATGTCAGTGTATTAATTAACATTAGTATGAAATATTGGAAACCCTCCTTATATTCTCCCTTTTGTAAAAACTAATAATATGTGGTTGAGGTGGTGGATGTAGGGTTGTACATTCATAAAAGCTGTTTAATGTCCTTAAAACTTTTTAATAATGAGATATGAATAATTTCTGTGCACTGAGATTGAAATAGGTTCTGCAGTCATTAATTTTTTTTTCTACAAAGATCTTGTTAGCATCTGGTGTGAAAAATCCTTAATATCGTGTGACAGTAAAGTGCTGTTCCTCCACCTATATCTTCCTTTTGTGTTTTGTTCACAGAGTGTGCTGAAGGTACTTATGGTCAGGACTGTTCTCTTACTTGCACCTGTAACCAGACCAACACAGACACTTGCAATAAGGTTTGGTGAACATACTATAATATTTTTTAAAAAGCATTTGGCATCTTACACATCATTGTAGTATATTCAAGATGAAAAGACTCATCGATTTCATCCTTACTATTTTTGTTAAGACATGTTGCTGTCATTGTGCATCAGATGTTTAACACTACCTTCCATAGCAATGTTTATGTATGCCATACGATAAACGATAAAGAGAAAGCCTTTTTTGTTATCTGTTTTATCAATATTTTAAAAATCAGTCCAGGCGATGTTTTCAATTTTAAAAAAGAATTCAGCTAGAAGTATAAGCTTACCTTGAACGTGTTGATCCCAACATTGTTCTCATCATTTGTGTAAATGTGAGTTGTTCCCACCCCCAGGTAAATGGCACATGTAACTGTAAACGTGGCTGGACAGGAAGCTCTTGTGAGGTGGATGAGGATGAGTGTGACTCAGACCCATGTCCGGACAATGCACAGTGCCAAAACACAGCAGGCAGCCATCAATGTATCTGTAATCCTGGCTACTATATGAACAACTCTTTATGTGTGGGTGAGTCCTTTTAAGTAGATCAACGGGTAACTCAGAGTACGAGCATGTTGAATATAGGTTGCATTATGAATGTCAGTGTATTAACATTAGTGTGAAGTATTGGAAACTCTCCTTATATTCTCCATTTTGTAAAAGCTAAAAATATGTGGTTGAGGTAGTGGATGTGGGGTTGTAGATTCATTAAAGCTGTTTCATGTCCTGAACACTTTTTAATAATGAGATATGAGTAATTTCTGTGCTACGAGATTGAAATAGGTTCTGCAGTCATTAATTTTTTTTTTTACATAGATCTTGTTAGTATCTTGTGTGAAAAATCCTTAATATCGTGTGACAGTAAAGTGCTGTTCCTCCACCTATATCTTCCTTTTGTGTTTTGTTCACAGAGTGTGCTGAAGGAACTTATGGTCAGGACTGTTCTCTTACTTGCACCTGTAACCAGACCAACACAGACACTTGCAATAAGGTTTGGTGAACATACTATAATATTTTTTTTAAAGCATTTGGCATCTTACACATCATTGTAGTATATTTAAGATGAAAAGACTCATCGATTTCATCCCTAATATTTTTGTTAACACGTGATGCTGTCATTGTGCATCAGATGTTTAACACTACCTTCCATAGCAATGTTTATGTATGCCATACGATAAACGATAAAGAGAAAGCCTTTTTTGTTATCAATTTTATCAATATTTTAAAAATCAGTCCAGGCGATGTTTTCAATAGAAGAAGAATTCAGCTAGAAGTATAAGCTTACCTTGAACGTGTTGATCCCAACATTGTTCTCATCATTTGTGTAAATGTGAGTTGTTCCCACCCCCAGGTAAATGGCACGTGTAACTGTAAACGTGGCTGGACAGGAAGCTCTTGTGAGGTGGATGAGGATGAGTGTGACTCAGACCCATGTCCGGACAATGCACAGTGCCAGAACACAGCAGGCAGCCATCAATGTATCTGTAATCCTGGCTACTATATGAACAACTCTTTATGTGTGGGTGAGTCCTTTTAACTAGATGGCCAAGCAACTCCGAGTATGAGCATGCTGAATGTAGGTTGCATTATGATGTCAGTGTATTAATTAACATTAGTATGAAATATTGGAAACCCTCCTTATATTCTCCCTTTTGTAAAAACTAATAATATGTGGTTGAGGTGGTGGATGTAGGGTTGTACATTCATAAAAGCTGTTTAATGTCCTTAAAACTTTTTAATAATGAGATTGGAATAATTTCTGTGCACTGAGATTGAAATAGGTTCTGCAGTCATTAATTTTTTTTTCTACAAAGATCTTGTTAGCATCTGGTGTGAAAAATCCTTAATATCGTGTGACAGTAAAGTGCTGTTCCTCCACCTATATCTTCCTTTTGTGTTTTGTTCACAGAGTGTGCTGAAGGAAATTATGGTCAGGACTGTTCTCTTACTTGCACCTGTAACCAGACCAACACAGAAACTTGCAATAAGGTTTGGGGAACATACTATAATTTTTTTTATAAAGCATTTGGCATCTTACACTTCTTTGTAGTATATTTAAGATGAAAAGACTCATCGATTTCATCCTTACTATTTTTGTTAAGACATGTTGCTGTCATTGTGCATCAGATGTTTAACACTACCTTCCATAGCAATGTCTATGTAAGCCATATGATAAAAGATAAAGAGAAAGCCTTCTTTGTTATCTGTTTTATCAATATTTTAAAAATCAGTAGAGGCGATGTTTTCAATTTTTAAAAAGAATTCAGCTAGATGTATAAGCTTACCTTGAACGTGTTGATCCCAACATTGTTCTCATCATTTGTGTAAATGTGAGTTGTTCCCACCCCCAGGTAAATGGCACATGTAACTGTAAACGTGGCTGGACAGGAAGCTCTTGTGAGGTGGATGAGGATGAGTGTGACTCAGACCCATGTCCGGACAATGCACAGTGCCAAAACACAGCAGGCAGCCATCAATGTATCTGTAATCCTGGCTACTATATGAACAACTCTTTATGTGTGGGTGAGTCCTTTTAACTAGATCACCAAGCAACTCGGAGTATGAGCGTGTTGAATATAGGTTGCATTATGATGTCAGTGTATTAACATTTGTGTGAAGTATTGGAAACTCTCCTTATATTCTCCATTTTGTAAAAACTAAAAATATGTGGTTGAGATGGTGGATGTGGTGTTTATACATCTGTAAAAGCTGTTTAATGTCCTTAAAACTTTTTAATAATAAGATATGAATAATTTCTATGCAACGAAATTGAAATAGGTTCTGAAGTCATTATTTTTTTTTCTACATAGATCTTGTTAGTATCTTGTGTGAAAAATCCTTAATATCGTGTGACAGTAAAGTGCTGTTCCTCCACCTATATCTTCCTTTTGTGTTTTGTTCACAGAGTGTGCTGAAGGAACTTATGGTCAGGACTGTTCTCTTACTTGCACCTGTAACCAGACCAACACAGACACTTGCAATAAGGTTTGGTGAACATACTATAATATTTTTTAAAAAGCATTTGGCATCTTACACATCATTGTAGTATATTCAAGATGAAAAGACTCATCGATTTCATCCTTACTATTTTTGTTAAGACATGTTGCTGTCATTGTGCATCAGTTGTTTAACACTACCTTCCATAGCAATGTTTATGTATGCCATACGATAAAAGATAAAGAGAAAGCCTTCTTTGTTATCTGTTTTATCAATATTTTAAAAATCAGTAGAGGCGATGTTTTCAATTTTAAAAAAGAATTCAGCTAGAAGTATAAGCTTACCTTGAACGTGTTGATCCCAACATTGTTCTCATCATTTGGGTAAATGTGAGTTGTTCCCACCCCCAGGTAAATGGCACATGTAACTGTAAACGTGGCTGGACAGGAAGCTCATGTGAGGTGGATGAGGATGAGTGTGACTCAGACCCATGTCCGGACAATGCACAGTGCCAGAACACAGCAGGAAGCCATCAATGTATCTGTAATCCTGGCTACTATATGAACAACTCTTTATGTGTGGGTGAGTCCTTTTAACTTGATCGCCAAGCAACTCCGAGTATGAGCATGCTGAATGTAGGTTGCATTATGATGTCAGTGTATTAATTAACATTAGTATGAAATATTGGAAACCCTCCTTATATTCTCCCTTTTGTAAAAACTAATAATATGTGGTTGAGGTGGTGGATGTAGGGTTGTACATTCATAAAAGCTGTTTAATGTCCTTAAAACTTTTTAATAATGAGATTGGAATAATTTCTGTGCACTGAACTGAGATTGAAATAGGTTCTGCAGTCATTAATTTTTATTTTCTACATAGATCTTGTTAGCATCTGGTGTGAAAAATCCTTAATATCGTGTGACAGTAAAGTGCTGTTCCTCCACCTATATCTTCCTTTTGTGTTTTGTTCACAGAGTGTGCTGAAGGAAATTATGGTCAGGACTGTTCTCTTACTTGCACCTGTAACCAGACCAACACAGAAACTTGCAATAAGGTTTGGGGAACATACTATAATTTTTTTTATAAAGCATTTGGCATCTTACACATCATTGTAGTATATTCAAGATGAAAAGACTCATCGATTTCATCCTTACTATTTTTGTTAAGACATGTTGCTGTCATTGTGCATCAGATGTTTAACACTACCTTCCATAGCAATGTCTATGTATGCCATACGATAAAAGATAAAGAGAAAGCCTTCTTTGTTATCTGTTTTATCAATATTTTAAAAATCAGTAGAGGCGATGTTTTCAATTTTTAAAAAGAATTCAGCTAGATGTATAAGCTTACCTTGAACGTGTTGATCCCAACATTGTTCTCATCATTTGTGTAAATGTGAGTTGTTCCCACCCCCAGGTAAATGGCACATGTAACTGTAAACGTGGCTGGACAGGAAGTTCATGTGAGGTGGATGAGGATGAGTGTGACTCAGACCCATGTCCGGACAATGCACAGTGCCAGAACACAGCAGGCAGCCATCAATGTATCTGTAATCCTGGCTACTATATGAACAACTCTTTATGTGTGGGTGAGTCCTTTTAACTTGATCGCCAAGCAACTCCGAGTATGAGCATGCTGAATGTAGGTTGCATTATGATGTCAGTGTATTAATTAACATTAGTATGAAATATTGGAAACCCTCCTTATATTCTCCCTTTTGTAAAAACTAATAATATGTGGTTGAGGTGGTGGATGTAGGGTTGTACATTCATAAAAGCTGTTTAATGTCCTTAAAACTTTTTAATAATGAGATTGGAATAATTTCTGTGCACTGAGATTGAAATAGGTTCTGCAGTCATTAATTTTTTTTTCTACAAAGATCTTGTTAGCATCTGGTGTGAAAAATCCTTAATATCGTGTGACAGTAAAGTGCTGTTCCTCCACCTATATCTTCCTTTTGTGTTTTGTTCACAGAGTGTGCTGAAGGAACTTATGGTCAGGACTGTTCTCTTACTTGCACCTGTAACCAGACCAACACAGACACTTGCAATAAGGTTTGGGGAACATACTATAATATTTTTTTTAAAGCATTTGGCGTCTTACACATCATTGTAGTATATTTAAGATTAAAAGACTCTTCGATTTCATCCTTACTATTTTTGTTAAGACATGTTGCTGTCATTGTACACGAAATGTTTAACACTACCTTCCATAGCAATGTTTATGTATGCCATAAGATAAACGATAAAGAGAAAGCCTTTTTTGTTATCAATTTTATCAATATTTTAAAAATCAGTCCAGGCGATGTTTTCAATAGAAGAAGAATTCAGCTAGAAGTATAAGCTTACCTTGAACGTGTTGATCCCAACATTGTTCTCATCATTTGTGTAAATGTGAGTTGTTCCCACCCCCAGGTAAATGGCACATGTAACTGTAAACGTGGCTGGACAGGAAGCTCAT